GCAATTTAATGGTTGTTAAGCGTGGAAACAAAATCATACGTTGCACACTAGTCTTGTAGTCTCAGAATTGATAGTGGCTATTGAAATTAGCCATTGCCTCAGCTCCTCTTGTGATCACTGACGCTTTTGGACATTGCTCACAACTCTGCCTAAAATGATACTTCGGATTACACAATTAAAGCATAGTTTTATCTCTCTAGTAACCCTCCCGGCATCACTGCTTTCCCGTTACTCCACCCATGTTTCATCTAGGCCGTCAAAATTTGCTGCTGCAGTTCATGTGATGTGTACACATAAAATAATCGTTCACTGTGAGTTGCATATGCAAAAATATTCTGACGTTTCATATCACCTGGACATGAGCTTATGAGCAGTTATAGCACATCTCACTACATGGCCACATCTCTAGTACTAGCGGAAATGCTTGGCATTCTTTTGGCGAGCGGAGCGAGCTACAGGTAAAATGTTTCAACAAGTAACAGAAGTTAAGTGTCGTCATATTATGTTGCATTGAAACTACGAAAAGAAAGTAGCAACGGAATGGTAATGTGTAGCCCGACGTTGCCTTGCCCGCTCCTGCTCTCCATCTCTTAATCGTCGCGGAATAAGACGATCCTCTCTGTCGTGAGGACTTTCGACGGCTGGGCGTTCTGCTCTTTGAACAGAAGTAGTATCATTGCCTTGCCCGCTCTCGATCTTGTAATCGTCCCTGAAAAATACGAGCCTCTCGGTCGTGAGGACTTTCGACGGCCGGGCGTTCGGTCTGTCTACCTCTTTGAACAGAGGCAGGATCGTTGCTGGACGTGAACTGAACCCCCGGGCCCGGCCCAAAATTAATATCGTAATATCGGCGCATGCGTATAACTACGACGGACAGTGCGTCGTATACATATATAAATATTCCATGCGAAGAAACCACTAGGTGGGCTCGCACCGCTTGCCCAATTAAATGTACACGCCTCCCTCTCTTTAATTACCTTCTCCTACACACAAAACCCTCGGCGCGCATGCGCAGCGAGGGTTATAGTACTTGGTTTGTCATTCCGTCCGTCCGTCTGTCTGTGCTTTTACGACGATTTCTCCTGCTACACACAACAAGACGGCCAAAAAGCGATTCCTACAGGTTCAGGCTTTATTATTAAAATAGCCATATTGGTAAAAATGCTGCGTTCGAAGGTTATGGCGTGAAACAAAGTGAAGGAGCTAATATGCAAATTAGCACTGGCTTACCTCGGCAAGGTCTGCGTCTTGGAGGCACCAGAAGTTGCAATGCAGGACAAGTATCGACTTTTGCGTGCTATCTAGCAGTGTAGCAAGCCTGTGACAGACTCTTAGCGAGCTTCTAAGCAACCACGAGTCAGTAACACAGTAAACTTGGACCAGCCCAACAATTAACAGTGCTGTGTATGCGTACGGTATAGTGTGTACGTCATCCGCATCTACACCTTGCATGGGACAAGGCTGCGTAAAAAATCATTGCAGGTGATCTGCTGAGGCACAGCCTGCCGAGTAAGAAAATGTTAATATCCTGCTCCTCTCCCACACCATTCAGACATCAGAATGTGCACAGGGTGAGCAAGGATCTACCATTGCTAACCTACTGATGTAGCCAGCCCATGATGACATGTAGCAGCTTAGTAGTATGTAGTATGTACATGTACTTAAGCATGTGTAGACAAATTAATCACGCCCACTGCGCCGAGGGTTAGCACTTCAGTGCCTTTCATTTATTAATGAAAAGCACTGAAGTGCAAACCCTCGGCGCATTGATGGGCTGGGTTTAGCTTTAGCTGTTACTCGTGGTCTCTTGCCAGCTTGCGCAGAGTCTGACGCCGGCAAACTACACTACTAGATAGCATGCGAGAGGTGATACACGCCCTGTGTTGCATCTTCTGGTGCCTTTGAGGTACGCAGAGCACGCGGATCAATCAGACCGTGATAAGCTATCCCGTCCGTTGTGTATTTGCATATTGGCTTTTTCGCGCTGTAGCTCTGCAACAGAGCAGTTTCAGAGAAAACCGCACTTATTTTCTGACCTTCATTGCCGGTTAAGTAGGTCGTATCCTTTGCGAGATGAACAAACACCCGAGAAGTGAGATTGAGAGTAACGGACACACAGACCCAATGAAAAGCACTAAAGTGCAAACCCTCGGCGAAGTAGCTCGCAGAGAGTCTGACACGGGCTAGCTACAGTAGTAGATAGCACGCGAGAGTCAATACACGCCATTCGTTGTGACTTCTTGTGCCATCAAGATAGACAGAGCAAGCGGACCCGGTCGAGTGCTAAATATAAGCGCATGCGTATTATCCGCCAGCGATAAAATGGCGACTACCGGCATTAGCCGTACAATGGTGGAAGCGCTCTAGCTCTGCAACGGAGCATTTTCAGAGAAAACCCCACATATTTTCTGACCTTCGTCGCCCGTTGGGTAGATGGTATCGTTTTTGGGACGAACAGACATTCGAGAGGTGAGATGTAGAGTAACAGACACACACACACACACACAGACAAACCCAACTACAGTATATACCCTCGCTGCGCATGCGCGCCGAGGGTAACTACCGTAACCCTCGCTGTGCATGCGTGCCGAGGGTTAATGAACTGCGGGCTTTGAGCTCTAGCTGGTCTTGGTAGCTTAGAAGGCAGAGTATTATTTCCACCTATGGCAGCCCATTTTTGGTTGTCCTGTGTGCCACTGAGAAGGTGGGTAGGTATATGTCACACAGGGCCATCTCATGTAATTTAATTGTTTCCTATCAGATACAATGAATCACATTACATTTACTGACCACCCTCGTGCACACACGTAAAGTCTAAAACGGTATCGGAGACAATTAGCAATATCTTACCTAATTCCCCGCCTGGAATAGAAAAGTCTGCATCTAGGAGACTCCACTTTTGAACCTGTGTTGTAATAATTATGTGGCTCACTTGTGTCTTCTGTCCTGTTCATACTACTACCTTTTGGGCATTAGAAATGGCACATTTGTTTGCTCTTTCCAGGCCCTCAGAAATGGCAGAAAAAACAGCGCAATCTTTACTGTCAATAATCTCAGACACAGTTGTACAGCGAGAGCCCAGCTGTTCAATGGCTGTTTTTGCCAAGGGGGAAAGAGTGTCCTGTGGTTCTCCTGTGGTCTGATCCATTTCGCACTGAAAATTACCACACAAACAAAATAACAATGACACCTACGTATACATATCACAATTAGCAAGCTGTAAACCAAAAATGAAGTTTTTGTCTAGAGAAAATATTTTGTGATAGTATTGTGATCATTAAGGACTTCTAAACATTGGCAGATTTGAATCAGACGTATGGGATGCTGGGGACTACAGAATAAGATACAGCCGCACATAACTTGACACATAAGTAAAACCTTCAGGGTCATGAGACATGTCAGATACTTTCGCTTGTCACCAACAACCATCACATTGCTCAGAAATGGTATCTCTCTTAGAATATTGCTTTCAAGAAGGACAGGTGGTATATTTTCTCCACCAGAAGTAATGATGATCTCTGTAAGGTGAAAAGTACAAAATTGCAAACTCTTGACGTAGACTCTTACACCAAGTCCACAACTTGACACATTATACAAAGGCAGGAGCTATTGCATAGAGTACCTGTGTAAAACAAAGTGCGCAAACTCAGGTATAGGCGCATTATTTCACGGTGGTTTACTACGCTTTGTTACACGCTATTACGCACGCCGTGGGCGTGTCATTACGCGGTTAAGCGTAAACAAGCGCGGTCGCACCCCCAAGTATTTATACTCTAGAGCGATGTTCCGTACAAACGTGGGTGTGTCAGTACGCGGCTATGCGCGAACGAGCGTTTGCTGAAAACACTTCGCGAAATACCGCGAGTGTAGAGTGTACGCCGGCGATTGCGGGTGGAGCACGCCGTCGCGCGTTACTACGCGCGAATGTTACGTAAATTGGTGTGACTTCCCGCTTGAGTGCGTAAAAGCGCGCTATTTCGCCAATGTTGCCGTCTGTGCGCGCTTTTACACACATTATTTTACACGGGTACACCACAACAGCATGTCTCAACAACTAGGTAATGAGGTAGAAAGACATGGCAAGGAAAACAAGTCAAATGCACAGATCGATGTGGATTTAACTTTGTTCAAAATAATGATGCAAGAACTTGCGTGTGTTGCGTGCTAATCTAAAATTAATTTTGCTGCTAGCTTGCCAATAACATAAGAATGTTAAGTTTTTGCAAATGTTAGGCTGGGGTTCATATCAATAATTACAAAAGTGTGAGTAGTATTGTCTGGGGGTTAACTTTGCCTTCCAAAATATCTGTCAGACCCAATAGCCTGACTCCACACAGGTAGCATACATGTGTTGAATGATTAGTAGGTGTATTGCGCAAAATATAAAACCTCACACTGAGGTCAATAAAGTTAGAGGCAATTATGATATAGTTGAATGCGCTTGTGTTGATATAGTGTGAGCAAAAACATGCCAGCAACAGCAATATAACAAGGTGAGTATGTACCTTTTATCCTTCCAGTAATGTGAAGAAACCCATTCTAACAATAAGACAGAAAAATGCAGGTCAGTTCAACGAACACTTTTCTACTGTGCATTTGTACCTCATCAATCCTCCCAATGTCACCTGAGTGAAGCCATCCCTCATCATCAATAGATTCCATTGTCTTTTCCTCATTGTTTAAGTACCCCATAAATACATGGCGGCCATAAAAACAGATCTATGTGAAAAGGAGAAGTATGTGATGTTTCATCCTTACTTTGTCTAACTGGGCATGCCTTTAGAGTACAGGTTTATTGATCCAAAAGTAATATTTAATTGTCTCAAAAAGCCAGTGAAAGTGTTGTTCAGTCACTGCAACGACGGAAAAAAGCCTTGTATATTTGCTATAGCCAGTGCCAAAATCTTTTCCTGCTCCCTGCAACCACCAAAGACGCCCAACTCGAAACTGAATATATGCATGAGAAAACTACGAGGTGGAAAGGCAAAACAAATCAACTATACCAAGCACAGCTCTATTTTTCAAGGAAAAAAGAAGAGCTGCCCTAGTACAACAGCACTACGGGTCATAATTACGTCAAGCTCAGTACAAGCTCACTTACAAAGAGGAAAGACAGATTCAATAGCCGACACTCTACAGTAAGCTTTGGACATAGCACAATCCCATTAATTGTGCATGTGCAAGTGTATACCCGCATACTGTGCTGAGAGTCCTGCACTAACGCTAACACACTGTTTAGCTGTTATGGCCATTGTTCACAGTAGATCCTTTTAACCCTCGGCACGCATGCGCATTGAAGGTTAAAGTACTTTGTCTGTGTGTCTGTATGTTTGTCGGCAGCTATTGTCGCACTGTATCTTGAAGGCACAAGTGATACCATAGGCTTAAAAACTACAGGAACCTGAAATATGAAAGCACTAAAGTGCAAACCCTCGGCGAACTGCGCATGCACGGTACCGCTAATTCATGGGTGGGGGCTATAAGGCTTTTATTCGTTGTCTCCGCTGGTAGCTTGCGGAAAGTCTGACAGGGGTCAGCCACAGTAGTAGATAGCTTGCATGAGTTGATACACACCCTTCGTTGTGACTTCTTGTGCGTTCAAGATACACAGAGCGAGCGGACCCAGTAAGGTATGCCTGTGCTAATTACCCTCGGCGTGCATGCGCAGCGAGGTACAGTAGTTGGGTCTGTCTGTTTGTCTGTTACTCTATATCTCACTCCTCGAACGTCTGTTTGTCCCAGAAACGATACCATCTACCCAACGGGCGACGAAGGTCAGAAAATAAAGGCGGTTTTCTCTGAAAATGCTCCGTTGCAAAGCTAGAGCATGAAAAAGCCAATATGCAAATACACAACGGACGGGATGGCTTACCGCGGTCTGATCGATCCGCGTGCTCTGCGACCTCGGAGGCACCAGAAGATGCAACGCAGGGCGTGTATCGCCTCTCGCATGCTGTCTAGTAGTGTAGTTAGCCCGCGTCAGACTCTGCGCGAGATGGCTAGAGACCAGGAGTAACAGCCAGAACTAAACCCAGCCCATCAATTAGTGATACAGCGCATGCGTTTACTCACGCGTGCGCGTCACAATGCGCCGAGGGTTTGCACTTCAGTGGTTTCATATTCACTTGATTTTCACGCCATAACTCTCGAACGCAGCACTTTTATACGAAAATCACTATTTATTAAATGAAGCCAGTGTAGCGCTGAACCCGTTGGTGTCACTTTTTAACTTGTTTGTTGCTCGTGGTGGCAGAAAACGTGGTAACAGATGGACAGACAGACCAAGTTCAGTAACCCTCGCTGCGCACACGCACCGAGGGTAATAACATGGGCGATTTTCAGGAGATATGCAGTGAAAACAAGGGGAAAAATCCAATATGCACCGGCATACCTCAGCCCATTCAGAGAACCACTGAGGGATGCAGCTACTCGAGGGGATGAGTCTACTTTAGCTTTACTCTAAACACTACTCGGCCACCACCCACAACAAACCACAGGGAATAATTTATCCGGGTTCGCATCGCAGTGTGCGACACAAAATAGCTACTTCTGCGACGCAAATCTAAGTCCTAGCGCAAAATGTTGCGATGCATTTTCTTTCGCGGTGAAACACGCGCACGAGCTAGCTATGCCAGGGAAAGTCTGCTTACCGAGACTACCATGCAGCGAGTGTAGCACTATCCTCGCGTGCGGGAGTGCGCTTACCTTGGCCGGGGGCGTTACTGGTGGGCATCAATTAGACTGGCGCTCGTGCGTTCAATGACAAACACCGGAGATTGTGTGGAGGATAAGACGTTAAGACGTTAGCTATGTCTGGTGTGCAGCTACAGACAGTGAAAAATTAGGCGAAACAGGTTGATATCGTTGGAAAATGGCTGCGCTACGAAGAGGCATCCGGGTTCGTTATGCGTGTACATTGTGAGCTGTGCTCAAAGCACGCGGATCGTTCATTGAAATCTTTGCGTAACTATGGTCGATATTTTGTTTGCTAATGAATATGCACGACTGTTATACAAGTTAATGATTGTGTAGCAGTTGCTGCTACGCAATTTTGTAAGAAGTAAATTATACCCTGAACCAGACAAAATGCGACACCAACAGGTTAAGCGCTATGCTGGCTTCATTTCAAAAATGGTTGATTTTTGTAAAAATACTGCATTCTTAAGTTATGGCGTGAAAATCAAGTGCACCTAATTAGCACAGCCTACTTCCACCGGGTCCGCTTGCTCTGTGTATCTTGAAGGCACAAGAAGTCACAACGAAGGGCGTTTATCGATTCCCGCATGCTATCTACTACTGTTGTCAGACTCTCCGCCAGCTACTAGCAGGAGGCCTAGCCCAGCCTATCAATTAGCGGTACCGTGCATGCGCGGGTTTGCACTATAGTATCTGAGTTAGTAGGGCATGGGTACAATGTATCTTAAAACCAATGAAGGGAACAGTGGTATTATAGTTAGTGTTGACAACAGTTTGCACAACTTACTTCCCCTTCTCCATCAGCATCTGGATCCAATATCTTACTCCGTACACCATCCATATCTTTCCCAGCGCTCGCAGAATTCCAACGATTTGGTGACATTCTACACAGAGTGTGAGGTCCACTTGATTCACTCATACCTGTTAACAGTGGAGGGCTGAGCTGAAAGTTATTTATGCTGCATACAGGGGCATATTTTATAACATTCTACACAGGCTACTACTACGTGTGCATAAAATATACAGAATAGTGCCCTACTCTGTACGCTGGTGCTTCAACCAAAGCCCACAAACATTGCTTTATGTGAATGAGAGTGCCTATGTTCAATTACATATAATGTGACGCTACAAGTGTACATGCACAATGTGTCTACTTACCATACACATTCATGATAGGGATGTTAACAGACAAGAAGTACTCCATTGTTTCCATTTTGATAGGAGCAGCCCCAACAGCAAAAACTTTGCACTGCTGAAACCCTAGTGCTTCACGTACTCTCTTCAGTACCAACATATTGGCAGCACTCCAGCCCCAAGGTACAGACTGACTAATAGAGAACAGTCATGTAAGTAGCACACTTAGCCTCAAGCTTTGGTGAACTTATAGTTTGTTTTGGTTTAGGCTCATGTGACACAAATGCTATGTACTACTTTCGTTCTTCATGTATTATAAAGAAACAACTTAAAATCGCTACCTCAATTCTTAGGTTGCGTGGATGTATACTGCATGGTGGTCTACATGTAGTAAACTTTGGTATTTTATCGGATGGTCATAAACTCGGAAGAACAAGGCGATCACATAGCGTACAGATTAGTCGGGCTTTGTGGGTGTATTTCAGCGAGATCACTATAATGGGGTGTTTTGAGTGGTTTATAGCCTGTGGTCCAGGTGTTTTCATAGCATTGACTCAGGGTTCTGCCCAGGATTATTTTAGTGGTGGCCATTATTGACTTTAGATAAACAGTCTTAGAAATAATTAACTCATTGCGCACGTAAATGCGCATACGCGGAATTAACGCGTACGCGTTTTTTTTTCGCGTTCGCGCGTGCCTTTTTGTTTGCATGTTTATACTCGCATACGAAGCCCAGATTCGTTCTTCGTGTGTTAGAAAGCCAAGTGTCATCTTAGAGCCGCAGGGAGGCCACGTTTCCATTGCAGATATTCATTCATCGCTCTTAGATGCGTACTATACGGGCGGAAGGCACCAGCCCCGCCTTTTATTTAGGAGTGGTCGGGTTCATACGGCGGTGGTCGCATGCGACCACCCCCCGACCATCGTAGGCAGAACCCTGCATTGTTCAGACAGCTGAATAATGCTATGGTCTGTGGTGAGTACACTATCAGATATATGCACTGTGGTCCAGATACTGCACTGTGGCTTGTCTGGTGTGGATCTACGTAGCTCAAAAGATCAAAGGAAACAATCGGAACCAGGTTACATAAAATTCACTCATCCAAAACCTTTTGGATAGAAGAAGAAAGGCAAAGGCACACAACAAACAACTTATCTACACCGAGGACAGTTCAAAAAGAAGAGCTACCCTATGTAGGTGGGGTTCGAACCCGTGACACTCTGCAGTCTCTGTGAGACCGCTCTACCAATTGAGCTACCAGCTGGTAGGGATTCAAATCTTTTAACACAAATTAAAATCAAAGGCAAACCGTGCTATGGCACAGTATACTCTAACTTAGTACGTAGGAGCAGACTTGAGTAATTAAACCACCAAAGGCTCCCAAACTGTAGGTCAGTACTGCTAATTGATTGGCTGGGCTATGCTCTAGATTTACACGTAGTCTCTCGCAAACTCTCGATTTGACATGGGGCAGTAGATAGTGTTTTATGCATCGCAAGACTCGACAATCTACCTCCGTTTAACTTATGTCTACACAGTACACGTACCTGGTATTTGTTTTGAATGCAGTGTTGTTACAAAAATTGCCAAATTTAAAATCAGTGCTGGACCAGTTTGTGGCTGGTTTGCTTCATATGGTGGCATAAAACATGGTAACAGACAGATAGACACACAAACCAAGTACTGTTACCCTCGCTGTGCATGCACGCCGATTGTTAAACTCACTTCTTCTGTATATTTTGATTTCCCTGTAAACCTTTCTTCTTTGCCCATACAGAAAGTTTCCTTTTCATACCAGTAAGGGAGGCACCAACTTCTTGCATTTTATCCATCATTTTTTCATAAACTCTGCATTAAAAGTGTCAACATGAAACTAACTGATGCATATTCAAGTTCATAGGCGAATTTCAGGTACGTTTATAATTACAGAGCAAATTAAGTTATATGTAAGAGATAATGTGCGTTTAGAGTTCTATACGTGATTTATGGGAACGAGGGGTGTGGTCTCGAGACTCATACAGCACCAGGCACAGCCGAGTGCTGTATGGGTCTCGAGACCACAACCCGTGTTCCCATAAGTCATGTATAGAACGATAGGACGCACAATATGTGTTTTATTGCGACTCAGTCGTCGCCAAATGCGACGGCATAGCATACTTCCCATGCGCACTTCCGCACTCGCTAGGTTCTCGAGCGAGTTTCTGTTCTCGAGGCTACCGCAATCGAACAAGGTCGTGATGGTGGCTCTTTCTCCCTCAGAGAAACTCGTTTCATAGGTCGCTGGGCCGTTTGACTCGTCGGTGTGCCGCGGCCACGGTCTCGCTTGCCACAGGGAGCTGAATGTAGGGGTGTGGTCGCCTCTGCCATCCCTCGCCTGCGCAGCCTCTACAAAACAGTCATCCCTTCCCTCTACAGCCTCTACAGGACAGTTTTTGTCTACACTACGTATGTGTACAATGCTGATGATAGTTCAATAATTTTTGTATTGAATGTTCAATATTGGCCATATTGAACGCATACTACAATACGGGAAATAAAAGTATGCGCGGCAACTTTGATCCGCCCACGCAAGTCACAATAAATTGTAATGAGTGAGTGGTAGCAACTGGCAAATTCCTTCTATATGTACAGGCACTGCCGCACACACAACCATATATTCTCCCGTATACAGCCGCTGCCGCACATACCATCACATATTCACCTAGCTCTTGCACCGTATACCCTATATCACCCGTGTCTGGACCCGTGCACGTAGTGTACCTTTACATGTGCGAAATGATGGGGGCCACTGACCCTGTCCAACAAGGCTCAACTTCCACTCTCTCCGACATGAGAGAGACAGACATTGTCGTGCTGCATGTGCAGCTTTGCGTGAATGCAACTCTACAGATGAACCGCAGCGCGAGCAACAGTGACGCTCAAACTAAAACACCACAGGAAAGGGCTATTCTATGAAATTTATTGATGATATCGGTGACGGTCAGGAACCGCCTCTCCAACTCCTGTCTCGACTACTGTAACACACACTGAACTGCTCAATGTTCAGGCAAAATCGTTAAAACCTTCCATGCCTGTTATTCATGGAAAAGAAAAGTGATTGCTATTCTAGCGCAAGAATGATGTCTTAACTGAAACCTTGCTTATGTGCAACCATTTACAGCATTCTCTCTTTCAGACAGCCATCGGTTGAAATATCTATCAAACTAACTTTACATGCATGTAAAGAACATATTTCTATGTTCGCTACCGTTTGCCAAAATTCTAAGCATTCAGCTAGTTTAATTTCTATTAACATGCACTGCTTAATGGAACGATTTACACTGAAGCCTTGTTTCGCATATCTGCACAGGCAACACAGAACCATGGACAATACTCATACTCGTGAAAATAAGTGGTCGCAGTACTACGTCCATCTGAGGAAAGCCAATCAAACGAAAAGTGCAAATCCTCGGCACACTGCGCATACACGGTACCGCTAACTGATGGGCTTCACTATTAGTGGTCACCATGTTAATAGCTCGCGGAGAATCTGACGCTGTATGGGCCTCGTAGCCTATAGTGCCAGAATAAGCTAGCAAAGAAAGTCAAGGCAAAGAAAGCTAAGGCAAGACAGTGAACCAGGCCAATCTTAGGGTGGGAGAGCAACCATAAAGCAATAAAATGGGTCCAAGAGACAGGCAGTGAGATATCGAGCAAGAACCTTCTTGTTGTCCATAGCTTGATACTTCATCAACTACTGAGCTAGGGGAGTGTATCATAACATAACTGTACTATTTAGGCCTTTACGCCTTGATCCTATGATCGCACTTAACACTACAGTTTCCTGAAAGAGGCACCTTGACGCCTGCAAGCCACTCTTGACTTTACTGCTCAAGAACCACCTTGCCGCTTTCCCCAAACTTAAAAGCGATATGAATGAAGGAATGCAGTTGCTAAGCGATTAAGCACTGACATGACACAGTTGCTAGGCTTTAGGTTAATGCCTGGTTACCTAATTATATTCCTCTAAGCTTTTTGACAGTAGAGTAAAGGATATACCAGTGTATAGTAACCTATTAAGTCTCAGAGATAAAACCGCTCTACCCATAAAGGGAAAGGAGCATAATTTTAACGTGACACTTGGTTTTAAAGAAGTTATATCCATAGTATCTGATCCTCTCTTGTACAAGGTGCTGTCTACAAAAGTTCACGGAGGACGGATGCATGTGGCGTTGATTGGCTGTTCTGTGATGTGATCGGAAATCTCAATTTCGAGATCTAGGACCAAGAATTGTGTCAAAAGTTATATATACACCACAATCTTTTCCACGTGATGAGTGGGTGGGGTCACACACAACACAAAACATACCTTGGAACTCCAAAAAATAGTGTTGGTTGTGCCTCTTTCAGTGTGACTACAAGAGACCCCTAAGACAAACAAAACACATCAAAGCAACTTATGCACATGGAATAAAATATTACCTTTAGGGCATCGGGATCCGCAAAGACACAGGTAGCACCTACTGAAATGGCAAGATATATGTCTGCCAACTGTTAAAAAAGGATGAAAATTAATGGGCTCACTCCACAAAAGATTACGAAAAACAAGAACACCAACGTCATATATAATTACCCTCGGCGCGCATGCGCAGCGAGGGTACAGTAGTTGGGTCTGTCTGTCTGTCTGTTTGTCTGTTTGTTTGTCTGTTAGTCTACATCTCACTCCTCGAACGTCTGTTCGTCCCAGAAACGATACCATCTACCCAACGGGCGACGAAGGTCAGAAAATAAGGCGGTTTTCTCTGAAAATGCTCCGTTGCAAAGCTAGAGCGCAAAAAAGCCAATATGCAAATACACAACGGCTTACCACAGTCGGATCGATCCGCGTGATCTGCGTACTTCGGAGGCACCAGAAGATGCAACGCAGGGCGTGTATCGCCTCTCGCATGCTATCTAGTAGTGCAGTTAGCCCGCGTCAGACTCTGCGCGAGCTGGCCAGAGACCATGAGTAACAGCTAAAACTAAACCCAGCCCATCAATTAGTGGTACGGCGCATGCGTTTACTTACGCGTGCGCGTCACAGTGCGCCGAGGGTTTGCACTTCAGTGCTTTTCATTATAGTAGAACCACTGATGACTTTTGTGATGCTTGGTATCTGCAGCGCATTTCGTTTTATACTTCTCAAACACACCTCAGTATAATACTACCCAGGGAGAATGCACTATAATGACATGGAGAACGCCACAGAACAGCACCAATTCTCTAATGACATGCAGCAGCTTTGAATGAAAGTATGGTGTACGTGTATTCTTAACGTATCTGCTGCAAGCATTATGTTCATGTTACGTGGGATATTGGAAATGCTGGTTGATTAACTACTCCTAATTTCCTTCAAATTATATGTATTTATGTGACTATTTGTTAAGTGCAGTGCATGTTGTAACTCTGTACATTGAAAGGACATGTGTTAACCGTAACAATCTGTTCCCCAATATCATTATACAATAGTCCACCAATGTATCTATAATGCATTGCACTTATGGATCATGGGTGCAAAGACTCGCATAATCGTGCTAAGGTGAACATATGTATATGCACAGCAGAAGTTTGCAGTGACATGCAGTAACAGGACATTAGACCGAGGGGCGGATACAGCAGCAGAAGACAGACCAAGGGACAGACAAACAGAAAAAACACACATTGACTTGTTTGCATTTCTGCCTCGTAGTTTTCACATGCAACAGCAAGTTGTACTGATATTTTATGCATCTGTGCAAGTATGTACCTGTACACATGTCTTGACTGACACGGAGATAGAAACTGACCCCAACATAATTTCTTACAGCCAATGTGTAGCAATAGTAATTAAAAACTTTACCTGACCAGCAATGTGGCTGAGTGGTAGATAGCTTACAAAACGATCTGTACCGAACACCAGCTCATTATAGGTAGAAACCAGAGATTTGGCTGTCCAAGTCAGCTGTAAAGTACACATACACATGTCATGTCAACAATGAGGTCAAAGCAAAGCAGCAAATACATACAAATCAACTGCACATCATAAAGGCTGAGCAAGTAGTGTGACGTGATCTGGGAAAAGGGCCCTTAACTCAATATTATACGATAGAGGCACCCAACCATTCCCGCCAGTGACTTCTGTTTCATTGCGCTGTTTGGTACAAGCTAAACTTTGCCTCTCTATCTCTCTGCTTTTACCAGTTGGGTACATAAACAAAGCGTATAAATGAAATGGTACATGGGACAAAAATGTATCATAGCAGAAGATGGCATAAAAAAGGACTCCCTGGAACAGGAACTAAATTCTACTGTTAAGTTGATCTTCATACAAGCAACTTTAGCTTAACAAGGGACATTGCTCTTCTCACAAAAAACCAGTGTATAGGTCATACAGGCAATTAAAATTACGTAACAATCCACCTACATTGTCGTGACTCAACATAGTTCCTTTTGGAGTGCCTGTGGTACCAGACTGAAAGAAAAAAGTATTAGCACTAAAGGTCACAATATGCATACATGTACAGGTTAAAGAATAGTCACAATCCTTAAAAGGATGCGGCAAGAATTGTTAATAATAAAGGACTATAGGGGGTATATTGCAATCAAAATGCGCATGTATGTAAGTGACACAGACAGAAACAAGCTGAAGTTAGTTTGGAGCAGAAATGGTGCTGGTCATTGACAGTAGAAACAGCACAAGTTACTTACCAAATTTTTGACCTTGGCATGCAGGAGAACGCATATGCAACATCACTGCATATCTTTTCAGGTGTGGCATAGCATACATATTGCGATAACAGAGCTAACTATGTAGGGGTGCAAAGAGCAGGTATAGGAGCATTCATGTTAGATCCATTATGCCTGATATCCTTTGCAAAATGTACACACTAAACATGGTACGGCTCACCGTATAGACAAGAGAAGCACACTGGTTTGGCTTCTGGGTTTTGACGATATCGTCAACTACACTGGAATCCATGTCCTTTCCGAGTTCCATAAACTGCTCCCACTACAAAAAATATTTACATGGCAGTACTGCCATAGGCTACTCACCCAGAGCACTGGGCCAACAGTATACATATGTATATGGGTGCCCGTCTTGCCTACCTACCTGACACTAGTGCCCCTGTATATATAGCATCTGTCCCCATTTCCCAGATTTATTCAGATAAAGGACTATTGTATATACTGGGATTTTCGCACATAGACCCACACGCTTCCTCAACTCCCAAACATCTAATACACAACGAATCAAGCAGAGAGCTAAACTCATCCTTCGACAACTCGGGTTTCTAAAAACAAGACCTTCAAAATAATATCTAAACTCAGTGTTTTGACCTGATATAATTTACCTGAGCATTGTATATACACCTCTGACATGGCTTTGGTCATTAGCACCTTGATCCCTACAAGCTCACAACGTGGATTCACAGTACGTAAAAAGCAGTAAATCATTGTACAAGAGCATGGCAACTCTGGTATAATCAGAACTACAGGTAACGATAAACATCAAAATTAAAGCCTTACAGTATAAACATTTGGATAATCTTGACTCAGCTCTCCCTTGTACTGTACAATAGCTTTTAATTCAGGGAGTTCATCACGAATCTAAATCAAGAACGAGACAAAAATCCAGTAGAATGGCAATCAGGTGTAGACGGTTCACATAAATCAAACGAAAAGAACAGAGTGAACAAATGTCATTGGTAGCTCAATACACAGTACGTTATAAGGGATAAGGATAGGGGTTAAATGGAAACTGAAGAAATAGTGTATATAATAGAAGTAGGAATGCAAACAAGTAATCCCGTGTAAAACAAAGCGCGCAAACTCAGGTATAGGCGCATTATTTCGCGGTGGTTTACTACGCGTTGTTACACGCTACTACGCACGCTGTGGGCGTGTCATTACGCAGTTAAGCGTAAACAAGCGCGGTGGCACCCCCAAGTATTTACACTCTAGAGCGCTGTTCCGTACAAACGTGGGTGTGTCAGTACGCGGTTATGCGCGAACGAGCGTTTGCTGAAAAAACTTCACGAAATACCGCGAGCGTAGAGTGTACGCCGGCGATTGCGGGTGGAGCACGCCGTCGCGCATTACTACGTGCAAACGCTAAGTCTGCGTAAATTGGTGTGACTTCCCACTTGAGTGCGTAAAAGCGCGATATTTCGCAACCGTTGCCATCTGTGCGCGCTTTTACACACATTATTTTACACGGGATGTTACCTGTGTCAAAAACATGGTAGAAAGGTATAGGCGAAGCAAACAAGTCAACTAAACCAAGGAAAGAGGAAGAGCTGCCCTAGGTGAGATTTGAAGGGCAACACAGCTGGTAGCGGTTAAAATCTTCAGCTGCCCTAGGTGGGATTCAAACATACAACACTTCTCTCTAGGCGAGCACTCTACTGACTGCGCTATACCAGGGCAACTCAGCTGGTTGCGGTTCAATTTACACGTGTTCAAATTGCTACATAACAGTAGTCTGCCTGTGGGATACGTATCTGGATGTCAGGCTAGAAACTAGCCCACGCTTTGCCTCACTAGGGCACCCAGCATCAAAACAACAAGATGGCTTTCGCCTGACAGTGTACTTACGAAAATCAGTGGACAAAAAATTAGCAGGCATATTTCGCACTCTACAGTGTCTTGCCCCTGTCAGCACTAGGATAAAAGCTCCTGCTGTGACATGGTTGCACAGCAACCTCGCTACATAGATATTAAGCAGATGCCCACATGGCTGTAGAGCAAGAGAAACACAAGATGCACACAAGGCTGTTAGAATATGCAGTGGAGACTAAGTGTTAGGCTTTAAGTACAAGTGCAGTTCTGAAACAGGATAAAGAACGGCAACAAGACAGCTGGTATCCTAACTGGATGACCAGTTGTTCAACCGGTGGCAGATTCATTAACTGCAAGGTTTGGCAAATTTACTCTGTTGTAGGCATCCACTTTTCTCCATTCTCTGGCCTCCCCAAGATGCACAATTAGTACTCTGTTTTTGTCTAAAATGCAGTTATCAACCAGCTTACCTGTGACTGGAATCGCTGGGGGACTTCAGGGGTTAAAGTGTGCAAAACCATGAACAACTGCACCACAACCTCTTGTGATGTATTCAACAAATGTTTGCAAATACCTACTTCGGTTTTAGTGCAGCACACACGACAGCTGACTGCTGCATTTGTGAGTTCATTAATCTGTTTGGCATATCACATATTTTATGTAATCAGCTCTACCTTGCATTCCTAGGAAATACATTCTTCAAAGGTTAGCATCACATGGTACGCTACTAATCACAGATAACAGTTCATATGCATGTACCTTTAAGAATTTGTCTAGTTGCTTTTGGTCTTCGACTACGGCAACTGCAACGTTACAATCCTCTGCTATATACTTGCATGCCTCTGCGTTGTTTGTACCATAAGTTCCACATGAAAGACCACTATAGGAAAACAAACAACTTCAAAACTAGTCTTAACACGTACAGAAAAAACATTGACAATAAACTCAATATCCACAAAATGACAAATTGGAAGATGAAACGTTTTGAACTTACCCAGCAAATATCGATCCAAGGCATGATATATGCCACTCACTGGCATTAAATCCCATGATAGCAACAGCATGGAATGGCTTTAGTCCAAGCTGAAAGGGCATATTTGTTATATCACATAAGTGGTATGTATCAGTCTCGTTCCTCGGGTCAGAAAACTTTAGTCAATTTGTCTTGCCATGTTTAGGTATATTTAAAATCACACTTTTGCACCAGAACCTGCTTAAGCTAATCAATATCCTTTGTACCTTTACAGCAGCTGTATCAATTCCTCAGCATTTGCACAATACAAAGGCAAAATCTCACAGGAAACTCTCTATTAATACAAAACTACAAGCATAACCAGGTCTACGGCTACTAGTGAATACCCGAACCTAAGAAAATGGTATGTCAAGAATTCTTTGAAAATCAATAGCTAATACGGTTCATTTTGGGGTAAGACACCTACACACAGGTCTCTTTAGTGATAAGATTAGGTGGCTTACTTATAACTAAGACACTTCTGTTTACAGTACATGCAGACCGGGGCATCCAGAAGCAACAATCACGAGCTGAGACTGCTCTGACCTCGCCCTGACTTGAACAGTTACGATGCTGCTAATAGCAGTGATTCTCTGTCATTGTCGACGAATTTCCCAGTGTGGAATCGGGGGGCTCTCCCCTACCGGGCTATCGCCGAAAAGTTGAGACGCCGCCGCAAATAGTCAGTACTTAGCTACCAGCATCGACGCAATGGTGGATTGCGCCCGGTATCAGCTTGGGAGAACTCTCCTCCGCGGTCAAAGAGCTGCTATATACCAACCAAGGTTGAACACGGACGAGGGCCAACTGTACTATCCATTTTCTTAACAACTAAGACGGCAAATTATCGTGCCTTCGTGGTTCTGCAGCCCTGCAGTGGTCGGCTGAATGATGCATGAACCATGAAGACACGAGAATTTGCCGTCTTACCTAGTATACATGTTTAGGACAAGATAAAAAAATGAACCTTCAAAAAAGACTTTGCAGCAGCAACTGTAAGGTCATAATATTGTTGATAGGTGACTTCCTGCCAGGTATCTCCACTCTTGTATTTCAGAGCAATACGGTCAGGAACTTGAGTCACAGTCATTTTGAACATTTCTGCAATCGTCATCGGTGCATCTGCTGAGAGCCCAGATTCGCCCATTGCAATATCAGGTCCATTAGCAGGATCCGTGCTGCGGAACTTTGTACGGACTGGCTTTGATTTGACCCTCTGTTCAGCTGCAGGTTGTTTGACTTCAGGGGGTGTTTCTTCAGCTAATGGCTTTGGCTCTGGCTCTGGCTCTGTAGATGTTTGTTCAGGCTCTGTGATGGTCTGTTCAGAATCAGCAGTAGATTGTTTGAGCTCAGTTGCAGTCTGTTCAGGTTCCATGTTGCACTACAAATGAACAAGGATGGTCGATAAAACAACTGGCTAGCAACACTACAATACTTGCCCGTGACTGCTACTTTGGTGCTTCTATAAGGCAAGCGGATCTGATCGAGGTAAGCCTGTGTTAAATCGCAATTGGCTTGTGTTTAAAGTAATTACGCAATAACAACTAAAATTAAGCCAGTGTAGTGCTGAACCTTTGGGTATTTGGTAACAGTGAGACATACTCACAAAAAATGTACTGTAACCCTTGCATCGTGTGCACACCAAGGGCTAAAAATTTGCATATGATCAGTAGACGAGATACAGGTGCATAGACAGTACATACATACGGGCACACATGGTGCACTTTATAAGCCAATATGTTCTTGAGTTTAGGTACACAATAAATATGAGAAATATCATTCTTTACTAACTTTGAATTTGCGTTTGACACCTGTGTTTTCAAGCTCAAAAAAAAACACGGATGCCTAAATCTAAACCTTGGTGCCTTTAACCTCTTCTTATTAGTATCACCCATTTTCTTTTTTATTCGAAAATTTTTTCGTTTCTATACTCTATTATTCGTTATAGCTGATGTTTCTCTTTTCTACAGTTTTTGTTTCCAAACATTTTTAGGTTATTTTATAGTGTTGTTTATCCAATGTCGTCCAGGTTGCATATTTTAAGAACTATTCCCAACTTGTGCGCTGTTGTTTTTAGTAGTCATGTTTCAATTACACCTGAATATAATTGTCTTTTCCAGATTTGCTACTCATAACGCTATTTAATGCCTATGCTACTTTTGTGATATGATGTTTTGATGATACCAAATTTTTAACTGTATCCATGCGTTTAATCAAGAATTTAATTTTATTGGGATTTGGTATTAAATAAGTTAGTTTAGCTGAAGTACGCGTGACAATACTAGACCCCTCAACACCTCCTCATACCTTTGTTTTTTTGCTTTTGTTTTGCCCTGTGTTCTACTTCTCTTTTTTATTACATTCGTGGAATTTTGTCTTTTTTCCCCGGTATTTTAGAATGCGCAGCACCGAGTTCTTCTGGTTACAAAAAACAAAGCATTCTTTCCACCTGTGCCTCACGTTTTTGTATAGGATCAACCATTTTACTTGGTATACTGCCACCTATCCTCCTGTTCCATATTAAACGCCTATTAAACCTTTGATCTGCCTCCTACTAATTTTCAGGGTTCGGTCTACTTCTTTCATTTTTTACGCTTTTCTGCTTTACCCTACTTTTTTTGTATTATTTATTTAGTATGACGAGCATGTGTTTAATTGGGTGAATTTATGTTTCATCTTATTCAGCAATTATTGACTTAGGTTGATTGTTTTTGTTTGCATGGTGTGTTGTCTGGGCGGTTGTTTTGGTCTTGGTTTTTTCTCTTCTTTTTCCTTTGCCTTTTTTTTTTTTTTTTTTGTGTTTTGTGCTGTCGTCAAGCCTTGCCTGCTCACAGCTGTTTCTTTATTTTTATACCTCTTCCCACACGGCTTCATTTTGTATTCCATCCTTTATCTGTCTCCCTTTTCTTTATGACCCATCCGCTAGACCTCGTTGTTTTTTTATTTTCTCGCAGGATTGATTGTCTTTGTACCTTGTCTAACATCGTATTTTGTATTTAGCCTACTATTATACGTAACAATGTTCCTCTTTCTCTGCTGAAATCTTTCCTTTTATTATAGTTAATAACATAAGTGATTTTTTGTCGCTTGTTTTCGTCATGGAAACGATTTTTTTGTCTTTTCTTTTGCTCTTCTCTGTTTTTTCCCTGTAATAGCGAGGCATTCCCTACAAAAGTTTTTCTTATCATCCATGTGTCGCCTGCCATTTGCAAGTTTGAGACGAGGACCGCCTGTGAATGATTAGTATCATGAATGCAGGCTCCTATTCTTTTTTGTTGGTGTTTCCTTGCTTCAAACCTAATAAGTGCTGTCCCCTTTCATTTTTTAGACTTTTACCCCATGATGTCATAACGGCATCAATTCCGTACCATTTTTATGCCCGTCATCTCCATTTCTGCCCGTGATTTATTTCGCCTTTTTCCCCCCTTCCCTATCCCATTAGCAAGTTGAGCGACCCCGTGATTAGAGTGTCTGAAGCACTCCTGGATGCCTTGTCTGTTCTGTCCACAATTTAAATCGCACGTCAGTCGGCATGTGAATTCATGAAGGTAGATCATGGAAATCGATTTTTTGCTCTTCCTGTAATCTCTCCTTTTCTTTCTCCCGTGTACACTAGGACATGCATTTACACAAGTGTTTTGGTACCAAAACCACATTTTTCCCACAACAAACCACGACTCAGGCAACCAATGTGACCCCACTACATCTTTTGATACCGGTGCCTTTCTTTTTTGTGTCCTTCCTTAACATATGACCCAACCTTTGGTACCACTGACTTGTACAATTTTGATTAAGAGATCATTTTTTTCGACCCACAATCTTCCCAGTCACAAGTTTGTTGTCCCTATGCTGCCGATCCTCGTAAATAATGACAATGATTGTAGTCCCTTATTTCTCGTCCTTTTACTCTTGGTGGTTGCCTGACCTTAAGGGAACAGGTAGGCTACGGACTAATATCGCATGTTGATTGGCCATAAAGAATGTGACTTTTTATTACGCCTGTTCGCTATCGATGGCCCAATGTTAATGTTTTCCCGCATGCCGTAATAAAATTTAAAAGGAGAAGGGAGGAACAGTAAATAAAATAAGTCTTGACACTGTCACAAAGGTTGTTTGTTGCTTGCGTTTATAGGCTTTGTGGCCATTTTAACATCAAGCAAGGAGACGATGACACCCTGGAACGGTTCTTAGTGTCTATGTTTGATTTTTGCAGTTAGTAGTTTAATTTGAGATGATGGTTACATCTTCAACCTGACATTGCTTGCCGTGTAAAATTTTCCTCGAACAACAAGCATATATCGTTGCCAACTTTTTCTCACAACATGACTTGTTTAGTGATGAGCACAATGGTGTAGAGGGATTTCTGGAAGGGCCCACGAAAGCAAGCATTGTACCTTAAAATCATTTTGTTAGTTGATTGAGAACATTTACTAAAATCTCGCCCTTTTAGGTCACAATCCTTCTTCACAAAACTCCACTGAGGTATCTTTTTTGCTGTCAGAGATTTCTTACGCACAACACTTTGTGTTTATTTGTTTTTCGACCAATTGAGTCTATGTTCTACGAGGGATTCCGAACAGTCATGCTTCATGCACACATGAAGGTGTTTCTTTCTGCTCGCAGTTTTGGCGTATGGAAAATTTACTTCTCCCCTTAGCATTTTTTTGAGAAAGCAAATGTATGTTGTTCATATGATGGCCCGAATCAATTTCATCCAATTCTTACTTACTGCCGTTTTCTTAGTTTTTCCAATACTTATTCTTCCCCTAGGGCCTATTTTATCATCCTAGTCGTCTTTGTCTCCATTTTTGCCCTTTTTAGTCGTCCTTTTTTTCTATATTACCACACTTCAATTAGTATTTTTTGGTTTTACTTTTTTAATTGCTTTTACTTATAGTCACTACCGTATTAGTTTGTAGTTTACTAATTCTCCGCTTCGTTGGTTACTTAATCGTTTACTGGTTTATTTCTTCTTAGTTTAGAGTACATCACGTATTCCTCATTTACCAGGCGCCGTCCGATGATTTTTTCACTAGGTCTTATCTTTTTTTCTCTTCCCACCCTTGTTTTTTCCCTATGTATGCCCATATATCAGCTAGTATTTGGTTACGTCTTCACTGTTCTAGTTCTTTTATCTAATACTGATTGTCTTCCATTATTGTCTTTGAGACGTAT